GGGAGTGGGAGAGAGAGAATCTTAAACAGGCTCCACTCTGGGCTGATGTGGGGCTTGACCTCATGACGCTGAGATCATGACCTGAGCCCAAATCAAGAGTCAGACGCTCAACCAACTGAGCCACCCAGACACCCCTCAAAGCTACTTTTTATTGCTCCCCCTTTTATCCATCATTCAGTTGGCTACAAAATCATCTCCTCTAAAGAACCACCCTGATCATTCCTCTCCAGAAGTAAAAAGCTTCTCATACTTGCCTAACTGTGACTAGGTCTGCCAGGTGCCTCCATGATATTCTTTTATAACCAAATTTCATTTTACTTCTGGATAGCAAAGTACCCAACTACATTTTCCAGATTCTTTTACAACTAGGAATTGGTAGAATGTAGGTAAAAATTGTGGGGTGGGAATTCTGGTAACGCCTCCTAAAGAGGAAAAACATAGCTGTGGATGGGTGCCTTTCACTTTCCTCTTCCCATCTTTCCTGCTGCCTGAAATTTATACATGAGGGCTAGAGCTCCAGCAGCCATCTTGAACCAAGAGGTAACCTTAAGGATAAAGTCGTATGTAAAGAATAGAAATACAGAAAGATAGAAAGTGCCTGAGTCCCTGATGATTGTAGAACTACCCCCTGTTGCTGTGGAGAGAAAAATACTTTTGAGCATTAGTCACTATTATTTATGGTTTTCTGTTATGGGCAGGCCCCAAATAGTAGCTTATTCTCTCACTAATGTAGCTATTTCTCCAATCCAGTCAATGTAATATTTTGATTAGTTTTGAGCCATTGCTTCTCTTCTTAAGACAGGGATTACAGACAGAAAGACCTAAGTTCAAGTCCAGCCCTGCCACTGTGACAATTATGTCTTTAGGCATTGCTTCTGTTCATTTTACCCTCATTTTTCTTGTCTGGGAACCAATAATAATAAGAATTATTATTATAAACAACAACAACAATAATAAACAATAATCAAATATATATATAATATTATTAATATGCACATTAAAGTGTTTGTTACTTTTCTTTCATTCTGTTTTTCAGTTATTATCCCAATGGCACCAATAGGAAAAATAGTTGAGGAAGGAAAGGGGGATAAAACTCAAATCAGGATATTGTCCCAGTTAACAGTCCTTATAAGCAGCTGAATAAATGAAAGTTTCAGATTGCTGATTTTTAGTAGTCAATGGGAGAAACTATCAATAGATTGGACTTCAATTATTGACATTTTAACCTCATTCTCATGAATAACTAGAATCTGACTACACACATGTTGCATTGTCTTAAGACCACTTGAATGCATACATACATGCATGCATACATTTTAAGAATGTAGGCTCCAAGAGAATTCACTTTCCCCAAATCACTGGGATGGAGGAGACACACAATTTCTGTCTTCTATTTTCCATTTAGAAAAGTTGACTCTTAATGATGTGAAGAAACGGTTCCTTTAAAATGGGCATAAGATTACAAAAAAAGCACATTCTGCCCAAACTCTTAGATCGTGTAATTTCATTTCTGCTTTTATGCACATTAAACTAAATTGGTTAAATAAAAACCTTGCTCAATTAAATTTGATTCGATTAGGGAATTTATACGTGCAAAGCATGGAATGTGTTGGTTAAAATAGGTTCTGGTTATTTAAAATGTTATTTTCTATGGATGGTTCATTTTTGCCACGGCTTCATTAGTGAACTAAATTTTTGTTAATGTGGATCAATCTTGGGAGTTAAATAGGCCTTGGCCCTTTGTTGGGAAATCACTCAAGTAGTAGAGAGTTTGTCTGCATAGTCTCAAAGGCTGGAACATTTGAGTATCTTCAAATCCTTCCTGCTCCAGCTCCACACGACCCTCTCTTACCTTTCCTAACACTGCCATCATTTCCTCTTCAAAAACATTTTCTGGGGCATCTGGGTAGCTCAGTCAGTTAAAAGTTGGGCTCTTGACTTTGGCTCAGGTCATGATCTCAGGGTCCTGAGATCGAGTTCCACATCAGGCTCCAGAAGCTCCTTTCCCTTGGCTCCTCCCTCCCCGCAAAAAACTTCCTCTGACTGACTATAAGACAAATACCATATGATTTCACTCATATGTGGAATTTTTAAAAAAGGTTTGTATTTATTTATTTATTTATTTATTTATTTATTTATTACGATGGGGGGTGTGTGGGATGGGGCAGAGGAAGACGGAGAAGCAGGGAGTCTGACACGGGGCTCCATCCAGGATTCTGGGATCATGTTCTGAGCTGAAGGCAGCCGACCAACTGACTAAGCCCCCCAGGCTCTCCCATATGGTGGAATTTAAGAAACAAAACAGATGAACATAGGGGAAGGGAAGGAAAATAAAATAAAATGAAAACAGAGAGGGAGGCACATCATAAAAGACTCTTAACTATAGGAAACAAACTGAGCGTTGCTGGAGGGGAGTGGTTGGGGGGATGGGGGGGCTGGGTGATGGGCCTCAAGAAAGGCACTTGATGTAATGAGCACTGGGTGTTGTATGTAACTGTTCAATCACTAAATTCTACCTCTGAAACTAATAATAGAGTATATGTTAACTAATTGGAATTTAAATTAAAAAATTTTAAACCATTAAAAATAAACACGAAAAAACAAAACATTTTCCTTCCTTCGGCCCGCTTTGGATTCTCATCAGGCTCTAAATGCAGATTTGGCTGCTGGGTCCCATCTGGCCTGGTCTATGTCCTTAGCTGCACTTCAACCCAAACAATTACCTTTCGTGTTACCGCAGGACTTCTAAAACACACAAATAGAAAAATTTAAGTAGGGTTGGCTCAAAGTATTTCAGGGAAAAGAAAGTATTTTTTTTAAGGGTCAAAGTGCCTATTGCAAAGGTATATAGGCACAAAGTCCATCATGTGAGAGTACTTGACACATGCCCAAAGCAGAAAGACCGACCCTGGAGTAGCCCTATTCTACAGGTGTCTCTTGAGGCCTGAATCCCAATCTCTGTCACCAGAAGTTCCACTCTGCTAAGATACGCGACAGAGAATCTTACATTTCACAGGTGATGGAAAAGCACTGAGATGAGGAAGCAAAGGATTAAAAAATTATGAAGGCTTTCTGGAGCATTATCACTAGTACATATATAGTACATGTCAAAGCAATGCACACACCAAGTACTGTGTTCAAGATTTCCACTCTGTGACTGCCCACATATCACCTTTTAGCCACATCACAGGCTAGAAGATCCCAAAAGGTAGTCCGTGGTTCTGCTGTCTGGTATTCTCTGAGAAATTTTTTTCCCCCAGCTTTGGTGATTATTGAACAAAGAAAGTTCTGGAAGAGGAGCATGGTCTCCTGTCTTCTAAAACTGCATAATGACCTTAGAGCCCATTCAATAAACAGTCCATAGAGCTTTAAGGAAGCTCATCAGTATTTCTGTATTAAATGCCTAATTCATTTAAGTTTGCCTTATTTTCCCTCTTTGTTTTTATTTTTTGATGGAGGCATAATTTATAGACAGTAAAAAGCACAGAAGAGTTTTGATAAATGCCATGTAGCCCGCACTTCTATAAAGATATACATTTCTATCACCCCAGAAAATTCCGTTATGCTCCTTCCCAGTCAATGTCCTCTTCTCCTCGAGCTAATCACTATTTCGATTTCTATCATCATAGATGAGTTTTGTCTTTTCTAGAGCTGTATGAAGATGGATTAATACAGTGTGTACTCTTTTGTGGCTTAGTGTCTAATGTCTCATGTTTGAAGCGTGTATAAAAATCACCTCTTAGTTTTCTTATCTGTAAGTGGCAGGGATCACCTTGTAAGAATGATGTGCCAGTATCCCGAGGAGTCGGGAGGTCTCCTGGGAATGGGGAGGGGGCCTGAGGAGTCACCTTGACTGGGGTGGGTGAAGAGAGGCTGAAGTGTGGGCTTTGCGGCAACCCTCCCCTGCTTCAAACAGAACAGCTGTACTTTTCCATGTCTTACAAATTGGGGTTCCCTGGGAGATTTCATTTGGGAAAAGGGTTCTTTGTAAAAAAAAAAAAATGTTAGAGAACCGCAGGCCCAGGTGATCCTCACTGATACTTTTCCCTTGAACATTCTATAAATTGCAAATAGTGCTTTCTGATATGAGAGCTTTGACTGGCTCCCTTGAGGGAGGGCTGGGAGACAGAGGCAGCCAGACTGGGGGCCCCCAGGGAGGGCCCGGGCACTGAGCACTGTAATATTAGTAGTGGTTACCATCAGATAGCGCCACCCCGACTGAGGCGCCTAGACAATAAGCCAGAGGCCCTGGGCAAAATGGAGGCACAAAGACAGCATTCAAAAGACCCACTCTCACAGCTCGGGAGCATTTCTATAGACTTCACCAGACCCTGGCCCCACCGGAATGTCACCTGACAGCCAGAAAGCCATTTTTCACGGTTAGCTTTCAAACTGCTAAAAATAATAAACACAGAAAGGAAAGTGCTGACATAATCTTAACTGCAGAGACAAAATGAAACTGTTGTTGTAATAATGTAAACAAACTGGGTTCCAAATTATAACCTAGCCTTCCAAACAGGCTGCTTGACATTACCAAACATCTGGGGACCAGCAGGAGAATTGAGGGCTTGTCTGGGAAGCAAGGGGATGTGCACTGCGTAGGTGCCGAGCCCTATCCCACGGGCTCTAACCCACCGATTAGCTACTCCTGACACTTTCTTTTAGCACCCAAGGAAAAGGCAGTTGGAGAGGGCTTCTAGATCTTTCTTGAGCACAACTTCCCCACATAACAAATGAAATACGGCTCCTCTCTCTCTTTGTCCGATTATTACTCTTCTCGCCCTAAATTAATTCTTGCAGACTTCCTTTTCTCCATTATGTTTTTCCAGGCCTTTTAATGTTTTATATTCCTCCTGAATACTTACAGAGGTCACAACTAGGTTAAATAACAACAGCCGCAATGCCACAAATTAGAAGGTAATTCCCCTAGTGCTAAAAAGTGACAATTAATCATAAAGATCACGAGTCTGCAAACAGCCAAGTCAAGCCTGACATCTGACCTTCTGATCCATTAAATCACGCGCAGAATTTGGCACCCACGCAGGCCGGCCAATGGGAGGGAAACCGCAGATCTGGAAAAAAGGAGACACAAGAAGGTAAATAGAAATGTTTTTTTTTTTTTTTTTTTTAAGTTCTTTTTTTTTTGTTTAATCTGCAACTGCTCTTCTATCTATGCTTAAATAGGGTCCGGTTTCAGAGCTGTCTCTGATTCTGAATAAATGCAAATTAGACTGAGATAAAAATCTCATTCCAAAGGGGAGATGGTTTCAGAGAAAGGAACTTGAACACAGAAGTTTAATAACACATTATAGGCATAGGACAACGTTTGTGGATCCCAAAGACCTACTTTGCTGTGGACAAGACTCACGAGCTTTGGACTGCCAGCCTGGGAAGATGGTTACAAGGCAAATGTAAATCTTAAACGTTTAGAGATTTTGTGCTAACGAAGGTACGGCTGGCCTCAGAGGATGGTTCCCAGGATAGGTCTCAACCAACAGAATCAGCCATGCCCTATTGGTGAAATGACAGGAATTCATCAGGGCCCGTATCCAGGCTTGGAACTATGGAGCTGTCTAGATTGTGTTCAGTGTGATTATGCTGGGGATATGTTCCACACGTATAAACAGGTGAAGGAGACAGCCACATAGACTGTGGCATCTAGTTGTTGAGCAGAAGATGGTTCGGAGAGTCTGTGTGAAGAATAAGCGAGAAGCTGCTTTTCAGTTAACTGTGGTCCGCAATTTTTGTGGTTGTTGTGAGGAACTTAGAACTCAGAAAAACAGAGGTTAGTAGAGCAAATGTCTGCGTTCCTGCTGCCTCGAATAGGCCATTGATAAATTTTGTCGTAGCTGCTTTTTTTTAAATTAAAAAATAGAGAGCATAGGTATAATCTTGACAATCCCCCTCTAAGGCCAGACCATGAATTTGTATTTTTCTAGTCCACTTTTTTTTTACATTTACATACAATATATGCATCCAGGACAATGAATAGTGTTTGTGCATTTCAAATTTATCTCTATGATATGAATCTCTGTACGTGTGTATCTACCATTCTCCATTTTTGACTCTACATTGTCTATGTGAGAGCTAACCATGTTGGTCTGTCACATTCCCTGTAGCTGCCACATCAGATGAATATATGCTTAAGTCATTGTCTTTTCACTCAACACCCAACATTTATAGCACCATAAAAGCACTTGTTATATCATTAAAGTGATTGTTGGGTGTGTGTGGGTGTGCATGTGCATGTGCAGATGTGTGAGTTTCCTCTGTGATGGACTCTGAGCTCCTCAGGATGCTGTTGTGTCTTGTTTTCACAGTGGCTCTTTTACTCCATGACTCCAAGCAGAAGGGACACTCAGTGTGTTAAAAGGCAAAGCAGATTTGTTAAAAATTGATCAGCTTGTTATTCATTTTCCTCCCTCTTAAAACAACACGGTGGAAGACTTTGGGGTTGTATTTATCTGCTTTCATCAGTCTCTGTCCATTGCTCTTGTAACAGACTTTAAATCCTAAGCCATCAATATCACCTAACTGTTGGCTAGAACATCAGAAAATTGGATAGCACGAGGCTGAAGACCAAGACATTTTTAAGAAGCATATTCTAAAAGCGTTCTCAAAGAATAAATGGACAGGCCCAGGAAGAAGCTAGTGTTTGTAACTGTCGTTGTGGCTTTATGTGAATATAAGTAACTATACACCACTATCCTTGACATTGATATTTAAAAACGAACGGTGCCTTTTGTTGGAAAATACTGGACCCCATTTATTTTTTGAGGGTATAAGTCTGATTTAGATTTTGAAGAATATATGTGAACCTGACTCAGTGAAAACAACCTAAAAATTCTCACGTCATGATTCATAATAATAAGCATTTTATACATAACCTTTATTAAGAACATTTTGTGGGCTGGGTTGTGCCAATCTTTTACCTAATTTCACTTAGTTTAATCCTCTCACAATGATCATATGACCATTTTTCAGATGAGGAGAGGAGAAGCACAGGAAGGTTTAACATTTTTGCCCAAAGTCAAACAGTGAAGAAGCAGCTAGCCAGGAATTTCACCCCGGTAGTAAGATATCACGAATTACTAAGAACAGGCCCAGGTTTTAAGATAAAACTGCAGAGAAGGAAATTGAAAAACAGTGCAACTGAGGGTGCTTCCAAATTTTGCCATAATCCCTACAGACAGTATCTCTTTCATGGTGTGCCTCAAACCAAGAACAAACCAAATTAGAATACTCCAATTAGACAAATTCAAATGATTTCTTAGTGATGAAGGAAATTTAAAGTAGCAAGGTCAAGCCCCAGACCTTTCCAACTTAAACATACCCATTTTTAATTCTTCTTCTCTTTAGAAAACTGGGGGCCACGAATTTGCTCATGGCTCAAAGGAACCTGCCCAGTTTGTTTACATGAGATTCAAAGCAAAAATGAGAATCACTCCCTGGGACAACTTTAGCCTAGAATGTGTGCTCTTTACACACTTTTAATTGGGGCACAAATATATTAACAATGTGGTTATTTTGTACTTTCAAAAGAATCTGTTTTGTAACTGATTCATGTTTATATTTGGAATATATTTATTTCTAGGCATGAAACAGTTCATTTTGTTGAGCCATTTGACCTGAGGTGAAGTTGGCACGATTTCCCGTGACTGCTCCCAATTAATGCAAATTGAAGGTTAAAGGATAAATAAAGTTCCTTTAACTTGATTTATTAATATGTTATTTATAAATGGTTCTTTACTTCGTCAATTTCTTTTTCAGTCAGTAACTATGTACAAATGAACCATTCCTAACAAACGAGTGAAAACACCATGTATATTTTATTGCAAAGTTTTTGTTTTAGAAGGGTTAATATGGCAAAAAAAAAAAATAATGCCATCCGTCTATTTATCCATCTCTTTAGTGTCAGTTCTGAAGTCTGAGACAGGCTATATTGCATTATGGCCTACATTCTTAACCCCTCCCTGTACCTACCTTTTTGTCATGTAACGTTGCACTAAAGAGGCTGAATCTAGTTTACTGGCCCCTTTGAGTCTGGTTTTGGCCATATGACTTGCTTTGGCCAGTGGAACGTTAGCAGGTATGCTGCTTGTAGCAGTCTGAAAAAGTTCTTGTTATGTTCATGTGTTTTCTCTTGCTTCCCTGTGATTGCCATGAGAAGATGTGTCAGCTAGCCTGTCACAGTTGAGAGACACCGAATGAAATTGACTCATGCCAGCTGTTTCTGCCAAGGCTATCCTGGATCAGCCTAGACTATTTAGGCCATGTAAGTACGAGAGCCGAGGCAAGATGAGCAGAGCCACCTAGTTGACCTCCAGCTAACACACATGAAGGAGTGGGCCCGGCTAGAAGTTGAAGAACCACCCAGCCAACCCTGAGACTCATAAACTTATAAATGCCAATTGTGTCTAACTATTGAGTTTTGAGGTAATTTGTTACTACCCCAAGTAACCCTATTCAATGCTACTGTGTACTAGATAACTGATACCGGACGTACGTCTGGTTCACTTAAAAAAAAAAAAAAAGATGCCCACCTTGAAGATGGTTTAAAATTAGGTAATAAAATTCAGCAAATATCCACCAAATGAGCTGTATCACTCAGGGTTCAACCAGGAAATTATAAATTGGTCTAAGCATTTTTTTAAAAAGATTTTATCTATTTATTTGACGGAGAGAGAGCGAGAGCCTACACAGGCAGGGGGAGCTGGTTAGGCAAGCTCCCCACTGAGTAGGGAGCCCGACACGGGGCTCGATCCCAGGACCCTGGGAGCTGAAGGCAGACGCCCAACTGACTGAGCCACCCAGGCACCCTGGTCTAAGCATTTAAACAGAAGGACTACAATGTAGGAACTTCATCACGCTGGTGAAGGGAAAGATGTAAAGGCCAACGGGAGAATGAGGCGTCCAGGAACTGAATAATTGCAGGAAATCCTTGAGCTACAGGGCAAAAAAGAGTATCAGTACTGGGGTCCTGGGGCCAAGGTCACCCAGCAGAAGCTCAAAGGGCCTCTCTAGTTGGAGCTGAAGCCCTAGAGGAGAGACACAGCCTTCATCTAAGATACTGTGTGAGGCAGGGCGTGTAGGGGAAGAAATACCCTGGCTTCTCTCTTCCTTCAGTCTTCCATTTTCCCTTCAGGGCTTTCCAGGGCTGGAACCCAAATGGAGACCAACTGGACTCAGGGACTGGGCCAGCACAACCCTCAGGGGCAAGCCTTTTGTAATGCAAGGGACGGAGCTGAGGGCAAAGCGGAAATACATCACCACGATGTGCAAGACACTATACAAGGTGTTATTCAGTGCTGAGGGCTACATTGGCAGAATACTGAGAATCAGAAAGACTGGGCTTGAAGGTTAGAAAGGGCCTGATAGACAAAAAGTGAGGGAGAGGATGTTCAGGTAGCAGAACTGTGGAAACAAAGTGTAGGCAGTACTGGAGGAAATAGCACGTGTGCTGGTTCGGCTTAGAAGGTTGTGTATTTGGGAGGAGGAGGCAGGGGTGGGGAGGGGACAATGGGGTTACAAAAGTGAGAACTTGAAGGAGGCTGGATTCCAGTCAGACTGGACTCCTGTTCTGAAGACAGCAGGAAATAAGATGGTTCTGAGCAGAGAGTAACATGTGCGTTTGGAGCGTTACTTTGATAGAGATTGGAGAGACAAAGACTGGAGGGCGACAACTAGACTAGGGGTTTTTAATTAAGTGCAGACCTCAGAGAATTCGCAACCTTTCTGAACAAACTGGCAGGACTTTGTGTAAGCATTCAGTTTTCCGAGAGATGGTATGTAGCTTTCACATGGCTTTCAGTGGAGCCCATGACCCCTGATCCTATCAAAAATGGTAAGCACAGCAGCAGGGAAGCGATCTAGAAAGCTCCTATAAATACTTCTTTTAACGAAGATCAAAAATTTAACAGTAGCAGTGGTAATGGAAGGACTAAACAGGCAAACATTTATGAGGCACTATCTAAACAAATAATCTACATGAATGTGAACAGAAATAAAATGAGAATGAGAGATGCTAAAGGGTTTAACTCTGGGCTAGATCTGTCTGCTGTTCCTTTCCCTC